GCCCGCCGTGTCTCCACGTCTGTGCGCTGGACTCCAGAGATCCAGTTCCATTTTAAGTTACTGCATTATTCATTAGCAGCATAAAAATTTACACTGGTCACAATTATTCAGTTTAATTTAAAATTTTTAAAACACTTTCTTGTGTATTAAAAATGTGTGAGTCTTGTGGAAATGTCGGTGAATCAAATAAGAACCTAACAAGTCAGAACGAAATTACATGTTCAGTTGATGAACGATGTAAGTCTCCATTGTGTGATGGATTAGACCCAGAAAGAGATAACAATTATTATTCCATCTTAGACTCCCTGAAAAGAGAGATCAGCCAAATTCAGAGGCATTACACTTCCATTGTCTACGCCAGAACTGCGAAACATGGGTTCCTCAGGCCCCCGAAAACATTTTACCTGGTCTAGGGTGACGAGGTCAACAGCCCCGGGGCTTTGAAAAATTATTTTTAAAATTAATCAAGTAAAATAAAACCAGACGTTATTTTTAAATAAGGGCAATGAAATTGCAATTCTTTCTTATGCCTCTTCTCATTATTTTTGAATTTATTTCCTTCTGATAGAGAACACATTTAATGGTTCCTCAGGCCCCCGAAAACATTTTACCTGGTCTAGGGTGACGAGGTCAACAGCCCCGGGGCTTTGAAAAATTATTTTTAAAATTAATCAAGTAAAATAAAACCAGACGTTATTTTTAAATAAGGGCAATGAAATTGCAATTCTTTCTTATGCCTCTTCTCATTATTTTTGAATTTATTTCCTTCTGATAGAGAACACATTTAATATTAATTATTCACTTTTTACATTTATGATTGAATGTAACTAAATTATAAGCTACTTATTTTTGTTGTTTTTCAATTACCAACAATGTGTAAATATGGACCGACAATGGTCAGCCTTTACGTGAACTCCTGCATGCATAACAATGCAAGAAAAATCATTGTAATTTCCAAACCACACCTGCAACAATCTTGCCTGAGCATGCCGTAAGGCTCTTTTCTCGTTTCTTATGCGTGCAGTATAATAGCCTGAATGAACCGTATTGAACTCCACTCCTTTACATAAGAAACTAATTGTTACGTCATCTGTTTACTCGGCATTGTTGTAAGGTTCTTTTCTCGTTTCTTATGAATGCAATATAATTGCCTGAATAAACCGTATTGCACTCAATTCCTTTACCCAAAAAACTCATAATTATTACGTCATTGTGTACTCGGCACTATTGTGTTTCATTACTGCCGTCAACAATCCGCTTTCGTTATTGCGGAACGAGCTGAGCTGTGAATCGCTTGTAGAAGCAGTGCGTTGTAGACTAGAAAATATTGTGCTGTTAAAAACGTTTTAGAATATCACAATTACTTATCTTATGTAAGAATGGTTAAGAAAGCATACCATGCTTACAAATCCTTTCAAACTCAACAAAACAATACACACCAGAAAAATAAACTTATTTACAAGTCGCTCGTCTCTTGTCAGCTACCATAGGAGACATACAACACTGAATTTAGAACCAAATAGACAACACACAATTTCAAATCCAGACAAACTCCTACGCACGTCTTTCTCCTATAGCAGCCGACAACCGAGAGAGGGATTCAAAGTGACTTCCGTTTTACAAGTTTTCTGAGCGGGAGACAGGAGTTAAAGAAAGAAAAGAAAAGAAAAGAAAAAAAGAAAAAAAAAGAAAGAAAGAACAGATAACAGCACATTGGTTGCGCATATCACAGAAGGTACAAAACTGGCTCAGAGAGGTCGCCAACAGGCCCAATTGAACCAGGGAATGGTTCACATTAATGTATATGGATGAATATAGAAAACAAAATGAATTAATAAATAAATAATTATAAGGAAAGAAAAGTAAAATAAACATACCAGAGATGAAACAGTAGACAACGCAGTGTGTCTGGAGGTGATCCAGAAGTATTACCGTATCCGAACAAGGTTTATTACTGATTGCGGTTGTTAGTGGGGAGAGTAGGTGAAAGGTGGTTGTCGTGTTTAGGGTCAAGGAACTGAAGGGCATTAAAAATGGGGTTATTAAGGTAAATGTTATTGTCGTTTAGGCAGATGATTTGTTTATAAGTTTGTTGAATGTGATATTTTTCTATTGTATCTCTATGTCTTTTATTTTGTACTATTTTTAGAATGTCCATTGTTTCTGTTATTGTATTGTATGCGTGTTGTGTATTCACAATATGTTTTGCGTATGCAGAATTATGTTTGTTGTGTTTTATAGCTGCAATATGTTCTTTATATCTGTGTGTGAAAGTTTGGCCAGTTTGACCTATATATGTTAATGGGCAATCTTTACATTTTAATCTGTATATACCTGGTAAGTTGTATTGATTATTTATGTCTGTTGGTGGTTTTTGTTTGAGGATGATTTTTATTGTGTTTTTTGTTTTGAAAGCTATTTATATTTTGTTTTCTTTGAATAGTATTTATTTAATTCATTTTGTTTTTATATTCATCCATATACATTAATGTTTCTTTGAATCATTTACTTCACAGACCGATGTAAAAATCAAAAGCATTACTTCAAACAATAAAGTTGATCCATTATATGAAAATATCTGGACACGACCTCCAAAAAACTACACTACGAAAAGATTGTAAAAATTTTAATTAAGTTTTAAATTTATTAATATAATTTTACACCTAATGATGGTTTAATAAAACCGAAACATGTTGTAACTGTTCCAATTGTAAATCGATTATTCGATATGGAACACAGAATGATATTTTAATTATTTTAATTATCTTATTTTATATACATTGTGATTTGACGGAAAAACCAAATACTTAATTTTGATTTTATTTTTGATTAAATTGGTCATTGCCGGTGAACATTGTGGTCTCTTATATTGAACAAAGTTTGAGGTAATGGAGTCCTATTTATTATTTTGTTATTGTTGTTATTATTATTATTTTTGCAATTGTATTTGCAATTGTCTGTGTTATCGTGTTGTTGGTGTGTAATCGTTAAACATTCACGTCAGCAACTCCATATGGAAGATCTTGTTGAATCTAGAGCACTGTTCGCGTACCCCCAGATATTTCTCTTCAATTTTGTACTCCCAATGTTGTTGGTATATAATTCAAGTTATACATAGTATATAATCTACATCTAAAATAAATTAAATAAATTACAGTACTGAATGTTCAGTGCTTATTATAAAAAAAAAGTTGTCAGTGAAACCACGGTTCCGGAGAATTAGACGTAAATACGTCTACACGGAAAGGAAGTTTTTATATCGGCTTTATTCTAAATATTTCCTTTATACATGCTTTACAATTGACATATGTTTGTTTAAGACATTGCTTAATCAACTTGAATTAGTTACGCTTAAGATGGGTCTGTGGTAGCTGAATGTAATGTAAAGTATGGTAATGTAATGAAATGTAGTATAATGTAAGGTAAGGTAATGTAATGTAAGGTAAGGTAAGGTAAAGTATTGTAATGTTTTATGGGTTACAACAATACCGAGTAAACAGATGACGTTTCCTAGGTAACAAAAATGCTTGAATGCATAACTTGAATTAGTTACGCTTAAGATGGGTCTGTGATAGATGAATGTAATGTAAAGTAATGTATTTTAATATAATGTAATGAAATGTAATGTGACGTTTCCTAGGTAACAACAATGATAAGTAAACAGATGACGTTTCCTAGGTAA